AAAAAATCTTAAGTGCTGAATATGGAATGGTTATGTTGGGTGATAAAAGCTGGGGAAAATTTTTCACCAAAAGCGTGACTGTCTCCCATCATCTTGCTTTATGCCCTCAGGGAAAAGCAGGACCGACAAACGCAGACGGTCATTGCTGTGTGCTTTAACTTAAGCCCATCGAAGTGTGAAGATTTTTCTGTAAAATTGTTTTTCGAAATAAGATTAGCAGAGAACGAATGTGAAATATGTAGTATTTCGTCAAATGGTATGGAGTAATGGGTCAATAAAATGGGTTTGGATTTTGAGTTACGATAGCTTTTGTGTGTCGTCGTGTTCACGAATACGTAATTTATTTAAAGAAACCTATTCTCTTTAGTGGAACTTCCGATTAGTCTACGACTAATTGCAAATGACTAGGTGAAATGACTCGTTATTGAGTTAAGGAAAATATGAGAAAGGAAATAAAGCAATTTATTACCGGGCATTGCATCAAAACCCTGTTTTGCCGAAAGAATTGTTTACTTAGTCTTGTTTGTATGCATCATTCTTTGCTTACGAATTGAATGACTGGCCTGAGGTGGGAAAGTTGATTTACAAAGTTGTGCTTCAAAGGGAGTGGTGAAATTTTTAGTGCTAAATACAAACCTTATTGCACTTCTAACTAAAAAAAACACTAAAAAGACAACTTAATGTAGTAGGTTTATAACCTCCTTGATTCATTTTTGCAAATGGACGGTAGTTACTTCAGCTGACGCTTTTTTTAAAGTTGTGAAAATAAGTAGGTAGGAAGAGTTGATATTTAGAATCACCTGGTTGGTTCTAAAAAGTCGGGCCTCGCCTTAAATTAATAAATTAAGACTATTCAATTAGTGCCAACTGTGAATCTTCTGCCTTTGAGTTACTCCTAATTATTCTTTTGGGCAGATAGTTGTCTGGAAAGGACTGAAATACTTTCTCAAGTGGTTTATTAATGCAATGGAGTCCAAAACTAACAATAATCTTGAAAAAGGTATAAAAATTGCTATGGGAACCTACAAACAATCCAATTTTTGTCCTACGGAACAAATTGTGACTTGATAACATGGGTGTTTAAACATGGACATCTATGAATGAATGCTCGGTTAAAACAAGAAGTGTAACAATGCTCGAAGCTTAGAACAAGTTCTGCTATGTGAGCTGGCTAGAGGGAGTACTGACTCTCAAACTTAACCCTGAAAGATGTGGCCGGTTTGAGCTGCAGTCCAAAGTAATTGGATTAGAACGGAATAATCGCGACCTGAGATAGAGAAATGCTCACTTCCGGAAGCCTGGCAACCTATAATTTGTGAATCAACACCACCTAAAAACGTGGATTGAAAACAATTGAATTTTGAGGTGGATGTTGAGACAAGATGTAATTCTTTTTGGAACTCAAGGACATTCTAAATTTCAAAATTGCGTTGATTCATTTACCCCTTTATTCTTAAATTCTTGCCTTTAACTGGAGACCTAAAATTTGAAAAGGAGTACGAATTGCATAGTTTTTTTCTAAGAATGAGTATCAACGCACCAAGATTGTAATTTTATATCTCTAGTGTTCCTCTTTTCAATTGTTTCCTGCCATTATTGTGATTTAAGAATCAAAGTTTATTTTCTATGATTTGTATATGCAATGAACTCCAAACCACTGTCTCTGCTCTTAAGAGGTCAGAGAATCTGGTGACTTCAAAAGCTGAATGTCTGTATGCGTGATCACCATGGATAAGGATTCCACAATCAGGGGAGTGCATTTTAAAGTTGCTACAAATTGCCATCCCACTTTTCCTGCTATTCAGGCGTATTGCCGGAGGTGGACCAAGCACCTTATACATATCTATTAATCAAGGTTGATCAGTTAAATACTTTTAAAATGAAAGTATGGCTAAGCCGCTAGCTTTAAATACCATTTGAAATATTCTCTGTCCACTTCTAGTGCCTTTTGCCTTGCATCTGAGTTGCACGATAGGGCTTGTAATAAACGGTCGCAGTGGAATCAGTTTCTGTCACTATAAGATCAAAGCAACTAAGGAGACTTTATGTTTCTACCATGCTGCTTCTCTTTGCTATTATAATGATCATCACGAATTGAGAAACAATGTTTTTTTCATCAACCCTACAAACATAACGTTGTGATCCGCTTCCTAGACATTTTCGTCCGAAGGAAAGCAGGAAACATTCATTAGTTGAATTGAAGGTTGGCAGTTATGATCGCTAATTTACTGCTGCATTAGCCTACGTACATACCAATTCAGGGAGTTGTGAGGTGCCTATGAATAGCCTTTCATTTAAGTAGTGGACTGCAAAGTCCTTCTTCTGTTTACCAAGAAATGGAAGGATAGCTTCGAGTTTGTGATAAGAATTTGGCATATATGATCATTTTTGGTTGAAAAAATGCCAAAGCCAATTTGTGTGTTCCGGCAGTGTTCACTCCCTACCACTTGTCGCCAAGGTAAAGGAGGAACGGATGCGAAATCGTATCCCCACAAAACTTTTATAAATGCTATTCTTTATTAAATGGTTCCGCTTTTGGGCTAGTGTTCTTATGACTCGTGATGGACACACGTGATGGCAAGCACATTCCGTCTTCTTCCAATGTCGTTTCCAAGTAAGACTGAATCTTATATCTAGTAAAATAGCCAGGAGAGATGAGTAAAGATTCAATTAAATACCCACCCAGTCTTACCCCATTTTACTGGTTGTTACCCTTGGTTCATGATTGTTTTGCTATCACAACCGACAGCGTTATGGTAGCCGACGGGGGATTTACCTAGTGGGAGCGTAAGACCCACGTTCGAAAGGAGAGTGGACTATGTAATGTCTTGATCATTTGTCCAATCTTAGTGTAATGCTACTCCCTGAAGGATTGGTGGTAAACATGCGAACATTCCCAAGAAGAAGTGTTTTTGGAGCCTTTGGGGAAAACCGTTGCTAGCAGGGCAAATTATGTAATTAGTCACGATCACCACTCTAAACGACCAAATGAAGGCGAACAGCATGGAATTGAAACGGTCTATCCCCAGGGACCGTTAAGGACAATGACTCTGAGGTCATTGTTTGACTCAGTCAAACACGATAGTTTCCGTTATTTTTTGTGGTTTACTGTTGAAGAACATCCTTTTCGTGTGAATGATTTCCGCCTCCTAGGTTTTGTGAAATAATTAGTTGATCACAAAGAAGATTCACGATGGAAATGCCATAAAAGGGCAACCTGTTTGATGATGATAATCGACAAAACAAACTAGGTTTTGTTCCAGAAAAACAAAACTCATACTTACTTTTTAGTAAGATTTTAAATAAAACACAAAAGGATGGGGATTTTGCTGGATATTTTAGGAAAAATCTCATTTTTGAGTTGAATGAAGTCATATCTCAGATCTGATGACAAATTTGAGAGAGACTTCATGAAAACAGATTTAGAATTAATACAGAAGTTTGTAAACATTTTGATGGGAAAGGATTTTTAATGAAACTAAAAAATTGCAAAAAACTTGATAAAATTAGAAAATACTAGATTTTGTAGCAGTCTTCGTCATTGAAACACTCAATTCTAATGGTAGATGCTTAGGCACGGAGTAGTTTGATTGAAGTACCCGTCTGTTTCAGACATATTCGGTAAGAAATAATATATTCTGGAGGTAAGACAATCCGAAAACCAGTGATTTTGGTGAAAGTGACCGTAACTACAGCACAAAATCTGTGTAAAGTAATATCAGCCTGTCTTCACTAATTAGGAGGAAATCCAGGCGAGTAATCTGTTTGAACACAACCCCACTTACTGTAACGAAAGACACCAGTGCTTTACTATGCTCTCCCTTTTTTTGCTGTGGCACTGTGTGATGTCGTAGAAAGCGAACGCCGTACTTTGGCGCCGAGAATTGGCAGTCTGATTATGCCCACCCATGCAGGTTATGGCAACTGCCAGTGCAATTGCGTAGCTGGTCAGCATGGCTATCATCGGTTTGTGATACCTGGAGGTCTCGCTCCATCTCGTAACTCACCATTTAAAGACTCGAACAACTGATTTGTCTTGTCCATATGCTGAACGCAGAAATCCCATCCTTCCTTCAGCTTCTGCTTCCACCTCATTGCCACTTCGTGCTCCGCTTGCACTTTATTCAACACTACCAACACCTCTTTTAACTCCTCTTCCATCTCTGTAAGTTGTCCCTGTGCCCTCTCTTATAGTTACTCTGATTTTTTAAAACTATCCTGTAGAGGGGCTACCACCTTACCCATAAAGAATTACTTCACCATTGCCGGAGTCCACTGAAGCAGACCCGCCACATTACCTCGAGTCTTTCGTGCACTCTGCGCCTTATAGTCTGGTGCGCTTGTGTATAGCTCTAGTAGGTCTATCATCTCATCCTTTGGAATATGCCTCGGATAGTTAATGATCAAGGTAAGGTAATTCTGATCTGACAAGAAGCGAATCGACTCTGCCCGTGAAAGTGTGAAGGAACCCAGTTTCTCAGGACAACTTGCATTAGTGCCTTATGCCTATGAATGGGAATTTCGTCGCAGACCATGATGAGCATGATCAGAATTGGTAGTCTCGGCAACTTGTAAACAGCGGCAGTGTCGCCGACTCTGATGGTAATGAGAGCCTCTTTGGCCTCTTTCAGGGATGGCTGTGTAGCCACCAACTTTACTTGGGCCTCCTCACTGCTCTTCTCCTTGGATTGGACGATCCCCTCCCACCGGTGTTTAAGCACTTTGATACAAGACTGGCGTCAGTGGCGGTCTCCGTATCCTAAAAGACGAGTTGGAAAACCTGATTAGAGGGGTGATTTGCCTCTTTTAGGACCTCTTCAGTCACCACAAGTTCGGTTTTATGGAAGGCAATGAACTCTACTGCCTCCTAAAGCCTACTAGCACCCATATCCATACGGTGTGCCATGTCTGTCAGTTCAGTGTATTTTCCGCCGTAAACCAGCAAGAGCACCAATATCGCATCCTTTTTTTGCTTAAGAAAAGCATTGAAACTCCGGGGCATGCCAACAGCCCCCAAGTCCTTATCTACATCTGCAGTGCATATTCTGCTCCAGTATTGTGCCTGCTTTTGTCGTCAGGACAGTCTTGAGGTGCTGCAATTCACCATTAATTCAGCCTTTTCTTTAGGTAAATCTCCATTTCCTGTTGTACATATTTAAGGAAATTTTTGATGAATTTTTAAATGTATCGTTTGATTTTGGTAAATTTTTGCTGTGGGATATATATCGTCCATGCTATTACCATCAAGATACCTCACGTAAAATATAGCCGAGTTAGTATATTCCATTTTTTTAAAATTTTCTTCAAAATATGTTACTCGTTTTGCATTTTCCAATTGTCGCCTTCAAGCGACCACTGAGAGATTTCCTCTTGAGGCAATGCAATTGACCATCAGAGAACGCAAAGCACAGACGTCTTTAACGTTAGCATTTTACTCTTCTCACAGGGAGGGTTGCAGAGGCCGTTTGCAACACCTCTTCTAGGCATGTTTTTTAATTCATCAGATGGCCTGCATAAAGAGGTTCCACTCCCTGCAGGCACCTACTGACAGGTAAGTCAGAGTTGAGTTTTGACTAAGTCAAGTGAAACTTAACTCTCTGTCGAGAAAGTGGAATAGCTATACGTGGAGGAAGTAGCACTGACTGTAAAGTAAACAACGAATCTTTCAACTTCTGTGAATGAATAAATGAAGACAACTAAAATACAGCATTCTTGCCTTCAAAGCAATGTCATAAAAGGCTGCATGAACGCAGACAAGATGTGGGGGCACAAAAACCTCTCTGACAAATGCTTAGTCTATTTTTAAATCTTCCCCCCCCCCCCCTCTCTCCACCATTTATGAGGCATTTTTTATGAGTCAATCAGAGGTCCAGCCAACTCATATGGGTATTAAAAAAAGCAGAGCGAAGAAGCAAACGTTGATGGTAAAGCTGCACTTGTGGCTGTTTCTTGGTTCCCAGTGTCATCCGCTGTTTGGATTTTTCCCCACATCAAGATGCATTATCACAACTGAATCTCCTCAAATAATTTAGTTCTTTATACTGCTAAATTCTTCAGCTTAGAATGTGTGAATTTTAGCCATACATGGAAATCTCCAAATCCCAGTTGCTCAGCTGCATGATTTCCCTTGGGGTTTCGTGTATGCGGACACATCGTCGAAGGGAAATAAAGGCAGCGGTTCAAAATGCTGGCAGGTGGATTGATTTTGTTGCCAAAAAAGGTTTGACTTTTCGTGGAGCAAAGCACGAATGAATAATAAAATGCCCAATTATAAATCCTTGAAGTGTAGTTCCACGTGCTGCTGTAGTCATGTATATCTCCTCTGTGTAAAAGAACTTTTGGTTGAAAAGGACAGTGAGATCCTCCTAGTGGCTGGCTCAATAGTTTTACGAAGCAGTCAATTAGTATTTTCTTTTGTGTTTTTGTCAGGCGTCCAAAGAGACTTACGAGTTCAGCGGACGTGATCCAGGAATCCACCGTTGTAAAAAAATGAATATAGAGTAGAGTAAGAATCACTATACAGCCTGCAAATGTGTTATAAAATGATAAAACAGAGGTCCCATAGTGGTGAAGCTGGGCTTTGGTAATAAACCAAGGCGTCACAAATATGTGACGCTAATAGCGAATGCATTAAATGGAAAAAAATCATCTCCTGAGATGCTCAAAAACATCAGTATATGACAGTTTAAATTCGTCTAAAATTACATGGGCCTTAAATAAAGCTCCAGTAAAATCGCAGAACGAGGTATTTTGATTCAGCACAGAGTTCATACCTTCCCCAAAAAAGACCAGCCGTCTGCTGCTATAGATTGTCAGCAAACCATGATTTGCCCTCCAGACTGGTCACTTTATCCATTAACATATGAGTGAGCTCGATTCTTAACAGGCGGATCAAGTGTTTGCGAGTTCAGAATACCTGCTTGAGAAAGCACCAAACACGTTCGACTGTAACTACCTACTGAAGTAACTTATAAGTAGACACTTGAACTTCGCTTGTATGAGTGGTGTTGCCTCTCCATATGCAGCTGAGATGGCGTTGATTAAAGATGTGATGAAAGCTTCAAAGGGTTGGAAGCATCTTAGCTTCCACAGAAGCCCAAATGAGTTCTGTTAGTTGGACAAGGGTAATGATCAGCTCTTAAATTTTTTGGGTGAAGTCACGCTCCATGGAAAAGTGCCTCATTGCGATTATGGCGAAGATGGTGTCTATTGAGGCGTCATTAGGCAGACTGCAAATGAACATGCAGAAGTGATACTTCAGACGTGGAGGAATGTAATTTCGGCCACCATCGGGAGTTACCATCGCTGATATGAACTTAAGTGGCGAGGAGAATGTTACGGTAGCAAAAGCAGATTTCGACTTTATTACTCTACCGTAATGGAATGCAAAGCTTCAACAACGCTGTTTATTTTACCTTTTTCAAGCAAAATCAAGTGAGCATAAACAATTTTGGTTTTTCTGTGGAAAATGAGAAGGAGAAATCCTCTTCTCCATGGCCTGCTCCAATTAAAATGGAGGGAAATTAATAGGTAGTTGTGTGAGCAGTTAACGAGGGATGGGGATTTCATAGTTGACAAAATAATGAGCGAAGGCACAGCACGCGACGACTCATCAAATAGACATTAATTTTGAGTGCTTATGGGCGAGTATATAACTCCCACTTTCCCCTACAGAAGTAGCAAAAGCACTTACAGCCTTTTTTGGTTGCTTAGGTCCAACAATCTAAGCAATTAATTGAAAAGTCATTTATTGAAAAGCATCAATACGTTAATGGCAACTTTCCAAACTACGCAATTAAAAATGGCGTGTGGACATGTTAGGCTACGCCACTTTACATTGACCACTAACTGTATGGAAGCAGTTTTGTCATTCTCTAATGATTGGTGAAGGAGGTGACTTCACAAGTGATGAATTCACCTGATTTGCGGAGACTGTAGGAACCGCCGCACTCCTTGGTGCGTCGCACGATTTCTTTGCCCACCTCATCAACCCACTCGTTCACCACCATCGTACCGATGCCGCCAATGAAGATGGCTAGCTTTTACTCCATAGAGGACTGAAAGCAAAGTCCACTTACTTGCCCATGAAGGTTTCCATGGAGGTCTGAAGGTGATGCAATGAATTTTTTTGGACTCACTCCAGTGATATTTGATGTTTCCTAGACTTATGCACCAAAACCGAAATGTATAAGAACCTGAAGATTGGACATTATAAATTACAGTTCTTGAGGATATCAATTTCTTCCTTGAAAGACTGCCTATGCTTGTTGATTGTGATAGTCATGGTTGTGCCCCGTTCATCGAAGAGTAGGATAGAACGGATCGGTGTCTTCAAACATTTTGTATCAGAAACTCGGCATCAGCACTCACTTAAACTCCACGTATCTTCATTTAGGATAGTTGTAACTTGACACTGACGATCCCCGATAGTCCCAACGCCCTAAAACAGGTTTCCATTCTCGTGGATGGCCTTATACCTTGCAAGTTGTAATTCAATTGGCAATGTTATTTTAATGTTATTTTAAATGCCAAAATTCTGGTCGGAAATGTAGACCTAGTCCCACTTCAGAGAAATTTGAAGAGGTGACATTGACGTGACACCTGGCACGAACATTTAATTGGCAGCAATCTAGCCCCATATCCCATTCAAAAACCACTCGGCATTAACTCATCACGTTGGTAATCGACCCTGCAGTCAAAGGTAGTAACTGTAATACGATGGTGGTTTATCCCTCGGTACTGGTGAGGCACCACTTTTGTACTTTGAACTAGCCTCCTTGTACCTCGCTGGGTGGGCTGACCTTTGGGCCATGCCAGTAGCCCAAGCACTCTCCCTGCGCTGAATATATATTCTGCCCGAGTATTGTCTTCTCTCCTCTTCAGGGAGGTCTCGGGACGCTACAGTGACTGCTTTGCTTTAAATCGTTGGTAATAGCACAAGAAGCCTTCCAATCACCACGGTGTTCCGTAAGTGTTCGTCAACTTTGACTCTCCCCAAAAGAGCGCCAAGAGACCACGTAGAAGCAGAAAAAAAGGACAATTCCTTAAGCCTCTGTAATCTTGGGAGTGGAGTCAGCGTCAAAAAAACGCCAAAATGGACCAAGTAAAACACCTCCAGGAAGGGCATATTCGCCTGAACTTTCCATGTGACGAATTTAATTATTGGTAAGAGAGTAGCGACAGCCAGTTCTGTGAATCTTGTCCTTTGGGGCTTGAGATGCAGTTTGATCTAGGTCTTCAAAAATACACAGGAGAAAAAATGGCCTTAGTTTATATCAAATCGACTCACAATCATGCTAATTTGCAATTGGGAACAAACAAGATATCGCCTGCCCACCGTGATTAATGGTTCCCAGTTTATAGTAGACAAGCTGGTGGAAACCATTCTATTGAATAACATTGTTGTTGGTAATACGTTGTCCACAATGCCCACCTCAAATAGAATTTTACACCTAGACGCCACCGGAATGAAATCGCCAATGACAAGGATGAGAGTCATGTTGTCATTCAGCTTAGAGTCCAGATTTGAAGTCCAAATCGCGTGCGTGGGTCCTTCAATTATGAGCCAGGAGTGCCCTTCGGACTTCATTCGTGTAGTTCACCTCCACAACGCAGAGAAGCTGCCGCCGGTTCAGTCGGTAGTCATGACATCTGAACACCCGAAACATCTACGAGATTGTAATGACCTTGGGACTGAAGTGGACCTCGCGTCACACCTCGTCCACTTCGGAGAGAGTCTTCAGCAACAACTCGCACTTCATCCTTTCCAAGAAAAGGGACCAAAATCATCAGCCCATGACGGACTTTCCATTTTTTGTATAGCTGAAAGCATCATTGATGATGAATCCGTTAAAGAGGCGAATGCATGAAAATGCAATTTTTAAGTGATTTTAGTAGATTCACACTTTCTGACTTCAATTTGCTTACCGAAGGGGACCAAAGTTGTTGTGTTGACAGGGCATGAAAATGCTTAAATGGTGATTAAAACTAATTGTACATTTAATACCCAAAAGTATCAGGTTGCTATTTAGGGGAACAATCGTTTCCATGAGTCCCATGGTTACTATAAATGCAATTTCGAACCGGTAGGATTAGCAGTGGGCCACCAAGATGTCCTCGCTTTATGTCAAATAAAATTGCACATGCAAGAAACGCCTTTTTGTTTTTGAAAGTTAAGACAAAAAATTTCCATCCACCGTACCTAACTAAAAATGCGAGAAACTCGGTAATATATTATATTGCAATGTATTTCTGTTGCTGAGATACATACTAAAAAAATGATCACAAAATAGCCTTGAGTACTTTTTAAGTCAACGCCATAAATTTCCTAGTCTAATTTTTGTCTTGTTGTTTAAATTATCAACAATTGTGTATAATTTGCCCAAGGATAGGTGGAAGTTTGCGCGAAACTACATCAGGTGAATATGGAGTGTAAATTGTCAATTGAAATCTCAAAAAACAGTGTATGTAGTTTAGAAGCCAATGACCGCCAAATTTTTTTTCTTAATCGCAATTAGATTTTCCAATCTATGTGTGCAGAAGCCCTTGGAGCCTTCTTTGTTATTACCTATTTAAGTTACATAACACTCTGAATGTCTAATGAAGTTGACACTCACAAGATAAATACTCGTTTCTTTCATTAAAAATACATGATTGCTAAGTGAGGTTAAAAGTGGGTGGACAAACTTCCCTGAGTGCTTGTGTAAGACAGGAGGTAAACAGCTGTCGGCACCAATCCACCCTTCCAAGGAAACCTTTCCTGCATCCTCGTAAGACTGTCTTCGCTCTCTATGTGCATGCGTGGGGAGAAACTGGCAAAACGTTTTAGAAAGTTGAAATTCTCAGCAGACTTGTGCCTTGCGATGGAAGAATAGGTGGTTGGCGGTGATGACGATTATTTTAACGTGCTTGGTGTTCAATTGGATTTTCTGGAATTTCTTTTGCAAAAAGGCAATTTAAGTTTGACTACTTCACACACCAGTGCCAAACTACAACTGATAGTATTTGGTTGAAAGTCCGAGAGGAAAATTTTCTATTTTCTATTTTTGGATACAAGAATGTGCATCGTCAAAATCGGATTTAATTTGGTTTCTTCAAAGTATTTTAACTTATCTAGTCCTCATCGTCATAGTTTTTGCCACATCTACTTCGCCCAAAATCTGGTACTACTCTTGGACAACCTTCAACATCTCAAGAATCCAGGGCTTGTGAGCAGTGATAATCATTTCCTCCGCGTTGTTTCGCATAGCCTCGGCAATCTTGGGATCCCTGCGATTGCGTCCAAGATTTATGCAGTGAAAGAGATCCCATAAAATAAAAAGAGAGGCCCATCCTGATCCACCAACTTCGACAGATCCATATCTCTCAGTACCCTCATAACGATTTAATTATCTCTTTCCTCTGGACTGCTTCATCGAACTGCACAGAGAGTTCGCAGGACTGAAAGGATATTTTAACGTCCAAAGTCGTAGTGAACAAAAGCAAAACATACTAAGACGTTAAGATGTGTCTTTCCAATCAAAGTGTCTCTATATTTCATAGGCATCGTGATGTTCTTGTGTTCCTATATGTAGTGATCTTAGGCGTACCATATTACATAGCCATGCCTTCTACTACTCAAGTTTGTCTTGCGAAATACATTTTAAACATCCGACTTTCCGGCTTCGCCTCTGTTTTTCCACATGCTTGGCGGTAACTCGGATCCTTAAACACTTCTTTGGGTCTATATGTGACAACAATGTGTTCTAGCTGATTGGGCTCTATTCACAACATTTAAACTTTAATTTTTGATGGAAGCTTCTTAGAAATCAGGAGTAGCGCCTTTTACATGACCTGATCATATTGCGAAGAAGTTGCTTTTGATCCGGATGTTTATATTGAAACGTCTGTAATGCTCAAATCTTGACTGATTGACGAATTGGGGGTTCATATACAATACCTAGTTGCTGAGCTGTTCATCGCAAAGGTTGCGGAGGTGGCAAAACTTTTGACAAGAGTGCGATTGTCAACAAAACCACAAGAGGCCATTGTGACGCAGATGATGATGGTGAGTCGATCTGGCGCCATCATCACCACCGGTTGAAAGTCCGCCTTTAGCTTTTGCAGCAGCTCCTGCCAAAACGCATAGCTAGGATATTTTTTAGAAAATACAGTAAAACGGAGGCACTTTGGTCACTTTTGGTCATAAAAGATTTCAAATATTATTTTGCTGAATATGGGAATAAAAAAACCATAGTGGTGAAGATACCCAATTCGAAATTCGGTGTAATAACATCTTCACCCGAATAGGCAAAGTTGAACTTCTGATTGCGTTCGACGAAGAGCACGATAGTGATCTGTTCAGCAGCCATCGAGAGGGCAATAAGTCTAATTCAGTTGAACTCCTCAAAGCAACTCCAAAGGCTACATTGTACGAGTCCATTAAAAATGTGTCTTGGACCGCGAAAATTTATCTAATCTGGGTAGTAGAAAACTAGTACTTATTGGCCTGGGCATCAGCAATGCCATGCACCAAATTGATGAGTTAGAAATGGAATGCATGAAGTTTTGGAACAACCTTGTAGAAAAAAATACTAAGTAGAAGTTATAGTTGCAAGAGTTGCCTATTTTTAATTAATTGGCTAAATCTGACGGTAGGTATCTAAAATATGCAAGTCTATGGACCTAAAAACACAATATTGAATGTCTACATCTTTCATGCTCTTTTGGCAATACCGGAAGAAACGAAAACTTGTCGTAATTTTCGGCTTTTCTCAAAGTACAGCCCCCATATTTCATTAAGTTCTTTATCTTCCTAATAAGGTAAATAAAAGAATCAGGGCGCACCTTTACAGTCTCTGTCTTGCCTGTTCCTACCCGTCCAGTTGGTACCCCACTGAAGCTCATATTGGGCGTTTGTAACACCGGTCGGTGAGCGGCGTAACGACCAGGTGCTCCCTACGCTCGAGGAATTCATACTGATACGCTAAATTCACAATGATGATAGAGACAACACACAAAGTGGTCCCCTCCGTGAAATGGACCCGCGTTTGCTTAAGCTAATTAAAATCGTCCAGGGATGGAGGTGAACACTCCGTTGAACCCGTAAAGTGGAAATGTGCGATATGATTTAATTCCGAAACAACCTTTCTTTTATTTGAGTTGTATGTTGGATGAAATAACGTGTAAAATAAATGCACAAGCCTTGTTTCAACCTATGAAGCATTCATAGCAATCAGAAAGAAGGTACAAGGAGCTTTTGAACCAAACCTAGACTTACCACTTCACCATTGCGCATAAAATGAGGTTGTTGTGGCAGTCACGCAATCGAATGAAGCAACTATGTTCAATAATTATTAGCATGCTAAAATGCTGTGGACGAGGCTAGACACCCTTAATCAAGGTGAGATGGTAGCAGCGGTGGTAGTGGGTGCGCGGTGATAAACGAAGTGGCTTGTGAACTGGTACCAAGACTTTAAAACTCGGAGGCGTGGATATCTCCTAGTACTTGCAAAGCTCTCGACCATGCCACTACGATGGTGGAGCGCTCAGGTTTCCACCAGCAAGACATTTGAATCGTGTAAGCATTTCAAATGAGGTAGTAGGTGACGATCCTGACAGCGGTGGTTCCAAACCCATAGCAGCCAATCCTATGAACAAGCGATATATATTTCATCGGGCAAACTAGATTTGCTGTGGGAGTGGTGAACAAAACGCAATCATGCGAGAATACTTCCGGTTTTAGACTGTACGATTACGGAGGGTGTCAAGACAGTTAGGATGCCCTAGCATATTTAAACAGACAAGGACACGATAACAAAAGTGGCAGATTTGTGTGTATTTGTTCGCTGTGAGACACCATCAAACTAGCATGTTTTCTATCCTCATTTCTTGGTTAGTAGAGTCTCCTAATATTTTATAGTGGAAGTAGTGATTTTACAGAGAAAAAAAAACGATTTTAAGATAATAGTCTAAGTTTGGAATTGGAGTAAAACTTACAGGAAACCTCATGGAATGCAAATTATTTCCAATGCACACCATTTGCTGTTACCATCGAGTAGGGATTCCTTTAATAGAATCTACAACATCATCAAACAAGTCTTTCTGACAAAGATGTATGGTGATAAGCGTCTTTTATTACATCTAATCTGTAGGACTCAAATTGGTGGTACTTTTACTCCTAAGCATTTCCAAGAGTTGTGAACCTCCGGCTATCATCTGTTACAATCTTAGGATTCTCCCTTGACTTGTTTAAGGCCATGTTAGGGTCCTGCATTTGCACCATTTGGGTGATCAGAATGGCCAACTGACAGATCTGCTTATCGAGAAATCGTTGAAGGTTGAGCGCCAAGTCCATCAACCGAATGTGGGCTATGTGGAGGAGGGAGTACTTCACTGTCATGCGAAGTCGCATCGGCCACAATTCAATGGGGCCTTTACAACGCAGTTGTGGGTTCAGTTGTATTTAAAAAGCAGTTTTTGACAGTACCATAGATTTCATGGTTTAACGCTTTTAATTTTTCTGGTAGTGGGTAGAAGCTGTACACGCCCTATTTATTTCAACTCCATTTATGTTGACCGAAGGTAAATACTCGGACTGGGCCTAATATCCGTACTTCAACTTTTAATCATTGCCTCCAATGTCGACGAAGGGTAAAAGTTAAGAGGCATTTTTACTTAATCCAACAATCAGTTCCTCATTGAGAGGCAACTATGCCTCCGTAATCTATGAGTCCTCCTTAAAGAATCGCAGTTGATGATTACTGTCAAAAATTGTAGGCTGGTGGGGCTAAGTGGACTCTGAAGATGAGGTCTGGTTAAGCATCTCTAGTAGCACTGAGTAAGTAAAGAATAAGATGCTTGGAAATAGGAGCCTCTTGCTCTCCAAGTT